CAACCATAGGTTCTGTCTTATAGTTTATGGTTATTCCTTTTTTTTCTCTTTCCTTTACTATCTTGTCTAGAAGATACTGTAGTCTTCTTTCTATCTACTAACAACACTGCGTATTCCATGTTGAGACTACGACCACTGATAGTAAATCCTGGTAGGGTCCTCATCTCTTCATCGAGGATAGAGGGTGTACGTAAGACACATCCTTGTCTTACGCCCCTTTTTATTTTTTGTGTATTTCCTCAATTTATTTACTGTACGTATGCAAGTGTAACCTAGTTTAAGTTCTGGATTATTCTAATCTCGTTTTCAAATCGATCGAATTTTCCTAACACTTCAAATAGATCCTTGTGCCGTTCATTGTCAAATGCTTTTGAGTAATATATATATATATATATATATATATATATATATATATATATACAGATGTGTACACCCTTCGGCATTTGTATTGCTCTCTCTATCATTTTGATTATAAACAACGCATTTCTTGTTTTAAACGGAAATTAACGACAGGAAAGCATCTGATTTTTTTTTCTCTCTTCCATTAAAGAGTTCCTGACTTCCTTTTAAAATAGATGTAAATAAGTTAGTACAGTAATGCAATAGCGTACACGCTTCAGAGCTAAACCGAATGTAGCATTTGCAATCTTCATGATTTCTCATCAAAAGGAAGTCGGTCGCCATGATTAAGGTTAAAGAACTTCGTTCGTACCTCGGGGTTAAGATTGTGATGATCTGCATTAAGAGGAAAGGCGAGAAATCCAAATCCAAGCAATTTTGATTGCCAGTTTCAACGGTTAAAACCATTATCGAGACATGTAAAACTGTCCACATCGTTTAAATATCAAGGAACCAAGAAGAAAAAGAATCACTTCTTGAACCAAGAAGAAAACGGAAAAATATTTTCCGTTTTTTTCTTGTATTTGAGTTTTAAAGACGACAGTTTTGCAACCGAGGATTACAACTTTGACTGATTTGAATGTCATTGACATGAAAATATCAAGGCAAACTCCCCAGGGAAAGCCGCCTTTATTTATTAACGGCTCTCACATCGTATTTGTTTCTACGCTAGGCCCACTGAGGAGGTCCCCATAGCCTAGCATATACACCGATACTTTCTGGAGTCTAACTCTTCAGTGTTCTTCCTTGTTCAGTATTTTCATATTCCACATGGGTTAATGACTCCCACTCCCCCCCCATACATGATAAACCATGGCTGGTCATTATCACACACCTTTCAACAGCTTTTAAAAATAATGTGACAGCCGGTTTTCAGCCTCAGCAAGTAAGTTAGATTTAATGCTCATCGTTCTCCACAGAACTGTCCCATGGCACTAGTTGATGAATGTGCCTCATGAATTTGGTTCTGAGTTCAATCGCTGGGCCGGGCAGTGTGACTCTGTTGAAGCAGTGCGAGCAATAACAGCAGTATTAAAAATAAATACTAGACAAGATATTCCTTGACATGAGCAGTGGAATAAAAACGGTCTACCCACGTAGATGAAAGAATTCGGTTCTGAATTCCCTGTATGTTAACCGGATTGATATACACCTGATGAAGGCTAGAGGGCACAACAGCAGAAACGTTGTGATAACAGCAATGATGAAGACAATAGTCCGCGTGTAAATAGCAGTATAGAATATTTCATTGATCTAGGACAAGGCAGTACCTATTATTGGTATCACTTTGACCTGAAATGTATAGCTGGTAATTTTTTTTACTACGAAAATGCATTGCTGGTATTTTCACTATAAAAATGTATTTTTATACTTTCATAGTGTGATTCCAGTTTGGGGGTTAACCATGGTCCCATAGCTGGGTCCCTAACTGGTGCTACCACCCTAATTCAGGGTGGCCCTGGGAATAGCAATTAAGAAATGGTTCCACGATCCTCAAAACCTCTTCTGATCAGAGGTTTTGCTACTGAATGTAGTCTATCGTCATATCCAGAGATATTTACGGGCTTTTACTTCCTTGTATTCCTGAAAAGGTTTGAAATGATTCAATTTTGGGGTCTTCACTCGGCATATACGAATTTATGGATCGATACATTTAATATGATTAAGGCATTTAGTGCAGTCAGAGCTTAGATTAGAAAAAAAAAGTTTCTGTCGATTTCTTTCATTTTTCTTTGTTTGTATGTCAATTTAAGTAAGAAAAAAAACTTTCCTTTTTTAAGGAAAGCGTTTTTGAAATCTTAAATTTTGCAAGGGTATAATTTCGAGTTTATATAGACAAGCACGCCAATATCCGTCGGCGGGGAAAAATCTGGCCTCTTAACGGCGACAAGTTGGACGGAGGGACCACACAGCACAACACTGCGTCGGTAGGACAGGAGACAACCGGGGAAACAGAAAAAAAAATATATATATATATCCAATATCTCAATCTCACTTCTCGAACAAAACGCAGCAGAAGAATATCCTGAAAACCCTCTGACGATTTTGTCGCGACATTTCCCGACTGGGTGATTTCGTTCATTACTGACAAATGTACTTCAGTTTGTTTTCTCGTTAACATTTCGCCATCTCTTTTTACTTGTCTGAAAAGCGTCCGGTCTTTCAAATGATGTTGAGCGAACTTTCAAATTAAATGGTGGTGGTGGGGAGAAACAAAGTAGTTTATTCCATGATGACTATGGTTGCGGTTGTTTCCCTTTCGAGGGGAGTAGAAAGACTAAAGAGGAAGTAAAAAGAGAAAAAAAAAAAGCTCCAGCGAAGACTATCACCCGCCTTACTATGCGATCAATGCCCGCAACTGTTCTATTCCCGACTTGGCCTCCTGAACCATGTCGGGTTAAAGCATCGTAGAGTGCGCCGGATGAACCAAACTCAGACGCGCGCGTCCCGGGTAAGAGGGTAGACTAGATCCGCGTCCCGGGTAAGAGGATAGACTAGATCCAACAGCAAGGCCTCCGATCAGGAGGTTTTGTGGTACGTGGAACCACCCCTTAATTGCTGGTGTTCCCAGGTCCACTCTGACCCCGAGTGGTAATACCTTTTAGGTTCCAGCTATGGGCAAATTGTCAACATCCAACCGGTGTCAAAACACTATGAAAGTGTAAAAATAGGTTCTAATACCAGCAATACATTTTTGAAGAAAAAATTATTACCAGCAACACATGTTTTTGGGAAAAAGAATTGCTAACAATAAAAATCTTGTCGGAATTAAATAACCCATTGAGGTTCATGTGACGTAAAACACACCAAGCCAAAGCAAACCAAACTCTGAAACATTAATGCGACAAATGGTGATGTCAAAATAGAAATTGTCGTAGACAATTTTTGGTGGGGTAATGACAATCACATTATTCTGATTAATAAAATAAAATTTGAGATTGAAAATTTTCGAATTTAATAAAATGTTAGCAATAGAGGGAAAATTAAATGCGTTTGGACTTGAGAATATTTTTAATGGGGGCTCATTTTCCCATTATAGAAATTAGTTTATCATTTATATATTAACACCGTAATACAACGGACGGACTAGATTAGCTGAAAGAAAGGAACGACAAACACCCATGGTTTTTTATATCGATATATACATATTTGTTATTAACTTGTCCCACACAGAGAAACTCTAACATAGGTAGACAACCAGAAGTAGAAAGGAACGGAAATCTAGAGGAAAAACTAGCAGGTTGGTGGTGTCCTTGATGCACCTGGTGAGACCATGTGGTTTCCTTTGATTTCTTAATTGTCGTAGGCAGGCATTGGTTCTCTGTTGTCTATATGGCAAATAGCGTGAGTTGACAAGTCTTGCCTCGAGGCGTATTAAATTGCAACTGGCGTTCGTCACTTTGTGAACGGACATCATGTAACCTACTTGAATTCATCTTTCCCAAGGGGAGATAATAGCTCTTTTCATTCTGAATAAACTCATATGGGAAAATTTCAAAATTAAAAAATGAAAGCCGCTTTTATTTATGGTAATCCTATACACGATTGCTTTTAAATATTCTACGGACAATAAAAACCAGGTCGAAGTATGAATTAAGACTGTATCATTCTTCATCACAATATAGCAGGATTTATTGAGCTGTTTAAAAAACTAGATTTGAACTTCTGACGTTAAGTGCCAATATTACTCGGACTGATTATCAAAAAAGAAGCGAAGTTAAAGTAATCGTTGAAAACTTAAAGAGGGCATTTTCTTAATGATTTGGAGACGGTATATAACTTTAAATTTTATGATTTAAAATTTAATTACATTATTTTACGTAAATATTTTTACCATTTTATTTTTTTTAGGTGAGTTGTCTCCCTTTTATTTTTTCGGACGAGTGAGCGTTTGTGCATGTCTACACATAAAAACATTCTGTTGCACATATTCATTGATATTGTTGGATCATGGTGGACTGTAGAAATTCAAGAATGTTAACTTTGACTCGTTCACACATGCTCCACAGTTAAAACTGTGTTTGTTTCAAAAATATTTTAAACAAATACTAAAAGATAGTTTTATGCAAACCATTTTATATCCACCTATATGTGTCTATATTTCTGGGATGTATTTAACTATTTACATTGTTCGGACTATTGCCCTCGTCTTTGTCATATTCACGACGTTTCGGCCATTGTACACTCCGGCCTTCTTCAGGTGATATACGTTGGAATTTCAAGCCGAACCTTTATTTCGTCCCCAAGGACACATTGGATAAAAGCGTTGGTTGAAGTAATCCAGTAACTTGGCCCAAAGAGTTGTGAGTTCAATACCTGGCCACAGCAGAGATGAGCAAAAACTCGGAGAGTTGAGTTACGGAAGGGAGATAACTGAAACTACGATATCCAGAAAAGGCATGGCACGTGAAACTAGAACAGTCTACTAACGAGGACGAAATAAAGGGCTCGGTTCGAAATTCCAACGTATATCACCTGAAGAAGGCCGAAGCATACAACGGCCGAAACGTTATGAATATGACAATAATGTAAATAATTTAAATATTTATATACATTTGTTTTAAATTAATTCAAATGTCTTTCTCGTTTCAGCTGAAGACATGAGGAATTTCCTCGCTCTCCTGCTCGTTTGCCTCTTTGTGAGCGCCGCGCTGGCAAAGGTAAGTATTATTTTTGGAATGGTATGGACAGATCATAGGGACGAATAATCTTTCCATAGTTGGAAGGAAGTACCAAAAAGAAACAAACAGGAAAAACGGATTGACAGCGTCAGAGAGTACTCTGGAAGATCATTCAGATATTGGCACGAAGCTAAGACATATGGAGAGGGCTGAGCTAGGCTCAGTGGCGTATCAACCTTAGAACCAGTACCGGTCATGGGACTGATGAGAAGCCTGAAATAAATTTCCATTGCCAGAAGAATGAAAATTATTTTACGTATTTTTGTGTGTGTTTTTTTTCTTTGAATTCTTTTTTCTTGAGATTGACAGTTTTTATATATATATATATATATATATATAAAATGAAAATTTCTCAGAGTTAGCCTGTAGAGAAGACAATATTTATAAATATTCAAATATATATATATATATATATATATATATATATATATATATATATAGTCATTTATTTTCTTTTATATCGTTCTTTGTAAATTTAACTTCGCAAGAAATTAACTTCTAACTGATATAGTGTGTTGACATAACTCAGTCAATATCAAACGTCTAATGAAAGATTTTGACCATTCGTCTTTAGCTTCTTACACCTGTACAAAACATTACTTTTTTTTTTTAATTTTTTAAATCGACTTAGGCAGGTAAATGAATCGTCAAAGGAGAAACCATTGAATTTTGAAACTCCTGTTGGTGAAGCTATATTACATCTCTGTCACATAATTTACAAGACCTCTAAAACAAGATGGTGTAAAAATGGTTATATTTGACAGTTAAACAGTTTTTGATAAAACTATGCAAACTCTCAAACGAATGCTATAACAATTTTCTTATTAATAAGTAATATAAAATAATTAAAAATAATACGATGCACTGTTTATTGCTATTTCTCTTGAGAGAATATAAAATTTATATAAAGTGTAATTTAAATGATTAGTAAAAACTGTAGGTAAAATATAAATAACTATTATAATAGTCCAGGTTTGTGTTTTACACTTACTTTTAGTTTTAAGAGAAGTATATTTGAAAGAAAAACAGCAGGCGGTTAATAATAATAAAAAAAAAACTAAAAAAAAAATTAATTTGACGTGAAACATTTCTTCGTGGAATTTTCTAAAAACAGAATTGGTTCAAAGACCAAAAATAATTCAGTTAAGGCAGATGGTTTGAAATTTTTCAAATTTGAAAAAAAAATCTTTCGTCTTTTCCTCCAATCAGAAGGGTGACTTCCACCAACGTAAATTTCAAAAGTGAGCCTCTTTCGAGGATATTTAAGACAGACGTGTCAACGGATGATTTTAGGTGTAAAAATTTCGAAGAGACCAGAAGGGATAAAAATACGTTCCCAGTAGAAAGATAATTTGGCTGTCACCTGTTGATATGCTAAGATAATTTTATTATAAGCAAATGGTTGGGGGGGGGGACTCGAATGTTACTGATGAAAGTGAGTTTTGTTAAAGCTCTGTTTTTTTTTTTTCCGTCTTTCAATTAGGTGTGTGCACGATTTTTGGAAGTTTCAATAATGTATAATTGTTTTAAGAGTGTATAATTCTAGATTTTGAATTGGTCATCTTGTACTTCGTGTGTGTGTGTGTGTGTGTGTATATATATATATATATATACTTTTTTTTTTTTTTTTTTTTTGTAATCAATATTCACATTTCTCAACGGAGTTATGAGTTGTTTTCGTATGTGCCTTATTCTTTATTCGGGTTAAGAAAGGTGACGTTCTCTCTCTCTCTCTCTCTCTCTCTCTGAGTGAAAAATTCATTTTAATGCAAGCACCATATCAAGACAAACTGAACATACAGAATTTGCAAAAATAGGGCTCAGTAAAAGGAAATTGTGATTCAACAATTACTTGATCAATTCAAAAGATGCAATGAAAATACAATAAGGTTAGGAAATCTTTTTATACGACTATTTTTTTTTTTATTTCATTTTAATTATCCCCCCTAAAACAAAACAACAAAGTCACTAAGATGCAAGGGTTTACCGAGTGAGAGAATGAGCAAAATAACACATTAAGGAGAGATGATAATGATTGACATTGCATTTAAAATTTTGAAAATCAAAATTGAGTAGGAAGCATGGCAATGGGTGAGTTTCATAAGACGGAAGAAACTGTTAGCAGAGAGCTTACTGTTATATCTAGCTGTTTCAACTGTAAAATGAGACCTTACCGCCAATCTAGTACTGCGCTTAAATTCATAAAGCCTGGGTACTAGAAAAAGGCATAGGGAAGTTACGTTGAGATGAGATGCCAGGTTAGGCCCAATAGCATTGCCGATTATTTGTATCTTATCAAGAAATTTTAAATACAGAGTAAAAGCACCAAACCAGATGCGACAATAATATTCAAAGCTTGGATGGATAATAAATTTATAAATGTTACATTCTGGCAAGAAAAATTCTTGCACGCCACAGTGAACCAACTTTCCTAGCAATTGATTCAATATAATCTTTCCACTTCATGTCAACGGAAAACCTTAGTCCATTATTCACTCTCTTTGAGGTTAGCATCAGCCACGCTGATGGAAGGTAAGAAAGGGATTCTCTCAGACAAAAATGTAGTTTCTTTTTGGAGTTGTTAAAAATGACAAGTCACTTAACACTTTTTTTAAAATTATTTTTTAAAGATCAGTTGCCAATTTGAACCGATCAAAATGATCTAGAAGATTGGCTGTTCAAGATCCCTTTTATTTCGTGATTTGATAAGACTGAATCAGTTCAAAAACTCGTCCAGAAAAACCATAACCTTTCTACTTGTGAAGGAGACCAGCATGCCAAACTCTACGAAATGTCTTCGAGATATGCAAAGCAAAAGCCTGAGCTTCACAGTTATATCTAAAGCGTGATAAACTATTTCAGTAATAATCAGTGATGCATGAGCAGTTGACCTGGAGACGCGAAAGCCATATTGCTTATCGGAAAGAATACACTGCGAGGTGAAATGCTTAACCAAATGAAATTTGATTAGAGCTTCTAGTGCTTTGTCAGAGGGAAAAGGTTAATACGACGATAGTTAGTATCAGACGATTCGCCTGAAAGAGTACAACTGTAGCAGATTTCCAATAAGCAGGAAAGAAAGGAGCAGCAAGGTATTTATTATAGCTTAGTGCAGAAGCCAGTTCAGGAGTACATTTCTTAAGGACTATCACAAGGACACGATCCAGTTTATAGTTATAGTAGGAAACATAGAACTGAGTTGCTATTGTCAAAGTGGAAAGTCGGGCAAAGATACTTCAAATAAGAATTTTCGAACAAGACATTCTACCTAAACAGGAGATGTCAACACCTCAAATTGAGTGATGAGTGTAATGATACAAGATTGGCTCTTAAGACGCTATTACAGAGCCGTCAGTAGCCACGAGAGCCAAACTTCTTAGAATGAGGCACCGTATAGCCTCTATCAGCAAAGACTTAGACGCTTTAAGAACACGTTTACAATGATTACAAGCAGACACAGAGGCATCTGTTGTGTTTGGAACTGTCATGCTGTTACAACCGGAAAAAGTGACCTATAGCGGTTGAACGGACCAATGTGAGCCAAGGAGAAGATTGTTGTATTTCCGAGAAGGTACCTAAATCTCGATGCCGGCGTTAACCCAAGAAGAAACATCTGTGGCACAATTCTCAATAGGAAGTTAAGAATATCAATCCAATATCTCGAAGAAATTCTCGAAATTAATCCCAATCATTACACTGGTAATTGTGCGGTTCCTGCCTAATAGATGAACTCAAATGAAATATCAACAGATACTAAAAAGAGATCCAAATTGGCAAGAAGACATTTGTCATTCTCGGCAAGAGCTAGGAGAGGACGTAAAAAATCAGAATTATTAGTGAAACGAGTAGGGAAATCCACTATTTGACTGATTGACTGAGCAACGAAAAAATTGTAAGTTTGAATAGTAGCAACATCAGAATGCTTAAGCCACTTGACATGATGAGCATTAAAATCACCAAACGCAAAAATATTTGCAGACAAATATAGAAAGAGAACCATTTCTATATTGTCTGAAATTTGTGCCAGAGAGTTTTTCTCATCAGTCCTACCATTTGTCTGTGCATTGCATAATGTTGCCATATTTGGTCTGGTGCTCCTGTTACTCACCTCGAAGTTCTTGACAAAATCCAAAGAAGGATCTGCAATGTAATCGATCCTGACTTGGCATCTCAACTTTAGTCACTTTGTCACCAATGTGACATGGCTTCTCTCTGTCTTTTCTACAAATGTTTTCATGGCTACTGCTCTGACGATATTTTTCCTTGGTGCCCTGACAACATGTCATTGTCGTACTAGATTGATATCTAGGTCCCACCCTTTTATTGCTGAATTAATTAAATGCAACTGTCACTTTGACTCTAGCAGTTTCTTTTCTTGCACTTCCCTCCTGTGGAAATCCCTTCTGATTTCTTGCTTCCCCGATAACTACAATGTTCAAAAATTAAAATTCAATGTCAATCACCGTCTTTTATCTTTTTGAACCACATTCAGCTTTTATCCTTTCCTTGGTCCCCTCTATACCCAGTCTTTTCTTTCACCTTCACTCTCTGTATTCGTCAGTGAGGCATTTAATGTAGTTTAGATAAAACAAGATCCAGTTCAGGAGCACATTTCTTAACTATTCTAACACTTTCGCCCCCAGCCCCTCAACCTCCGACGTCTTACTCTCTGGGTTGAGTTGTTTACTCGGTCCTAACCGAACTTAAGGAAGTGGCCGTAGATCCAGTGAGCATCCGTAGATTATTCGACCGGTCCACTGGTTTAATCCTGCGTTGTGTTTGGTTTGATCCAGAAAGCAGAAGTGATGTTCATCCATTCACGGTCGACTGAAGATGTAGACACAGATGGAGAGTCTGTTATAAGAAATTTAGACTAGTATAGAAAAGAAATGGGTTACAGAAAAGAAAAGTAATTGACGTAAAAACGCATACACTGGATTCTGGACAGAGAGGGAGTCTATTATGATTAACTTGTTGTTAAATCGTCTCAGAACGATATACGACTCTTGCGATGGGGGAATAAGATTTCTGTGCGCGGCTTAAAGTTTATAGTGGCGTTCCTCCTTAGCAGTAGTAACAGTAGTATTAATATTCGTGGTAGCAGAAGCAGCGGTATTTATATCAACAGTACATGCTAGCGGACGCTCCGTTTCAATCCCTGACGTCACTTTCTTCCGTCTCTACGCTCGCCCGTCTCTTCTCCCGTCTCAACGCTCGCCCGTCTGTCTTTTTCAGCATAACTACGCGTTTATATAGAAAAATCCGGATGATTACAACTGAACCTTGGTCGCACGTAATTATCACAGGGTTTGTGGCTTTTTCAACCAAAATCATGTGAATTCAAAAGGTCCTTCTAGCTTATTCAGCTCTCTTTCAATTTTTAATCGATAAAAATTATTTCGACCATTTTCATTGTCTCCTGATGACTCAGATTCAATGGGTACAACGAATTTTTCAACTGGAAGAATAGAATTAGAAATAATGCCTTAGATCAGATATTTCCCATCAGTAAACGAAATGCTCTGGACAATTTGCTGAGAAAAAGTCCAATTTCACTAAAAAATATACGTATGTATGTGTTTCCAAGAGGTGAAAAAAACTCTCTCTCTCTCTCTCCGTCACACTATTACAGAGATGCCATCATGTCCACATGCTTTGCTGAATATTACCAAAATTACAAATGACAATTCTTTATGGCCACAACCTCTACTACAAATGAAACAGACATTTTGAATCAAAAGTATCAACTGATTTAAGAACAAGCTTCTAAGCCGTGGATGTTTTTTCTTACAATTTACATTTTTTCCTCTCAAGGTGAGGGAGGGGTGTAATTTGTCTTCATGTCCTATCATCGTCCATTATATACTAAGCCTAAATCCAGAAAAAAGAATAAGGAAATCCATTTGACGAAGAGACTGAGCAACAGAGAAATTAAGAGTTTGAATACTGGCAACATCCGTAACATTAGAATGCGTAAGTCACTTGACACGATGAGCATTAAAATCACCAAACACAAAAATTTTTGCCGATGAATGTAGATTGAGGCATTTCTATATTATCAGATACTTCGTTTAATAAAGTTTTTGGAAATATAGTTATGTTGTTTAAAGTTACTCAATATTAAAACAATCCAAATGAATAAAATACTTTTAAAAAAGCAAAGAAGTCAAAAGAATAATCTATAAATTTATGTTTAAGTTTATATTGCGTGTATGTATAACCCAAAAGAAAATTCATATTACGAATGTTCTTTACCTCAAATGAGCTGATACAGCGTTCTGTTGTCTGCGCCTTGAGACGTTAATGTTACTAGTGTTATAAGGAACGCACCGACGTAGTAGTAAAAAGGTGTATAAAATTACTTAAAACATTTTTTCCAATAAGCTATTTCTTGAATTATTTTTTTAATAACTCGGAAGTTGTTAAAACTATAGTATTAAACTTTGTCACACAAATAGCATGGTCAAGGATGTATCCTTCTACTAAATTTATAGTTTCCGATATCATGCCAAAAAAAAAAAAGGTTCGAATTATTTGGTGGCAAGATTACTGACTTTCGTGATAAAAAAAAAAAAAAAAAACCCTATAAATGTCAGAAAAAAAATCGCTTGACCAACACACTAGAATAGCAGCCAAATTATTTTTCAAATGCATTTCAATTTATTTTCCAGAGAAGCAAGAAGGAAAAGAAAGCGATTTTATTGCATGAGCTTGAAGAAGAGAAAGAAAGAGCAGAGAAACTTGCTGAAGAAGTTAAAGCCCTTGACGAAGATGAGGATGAAGAGGAGGATGATGATGATGATGAAACAGAAGAGACCAATGAGAATGTAAGATTTTCTTTGGCTAAAATGCAAAGAAAATTACTTTGTTTCACTTCCCCATCGCAATACTTGCTTAAAACAACAGAAGAGATCGAAAAATCTTCTGCCATATTTATTATGTCCGAATTTAAATCGATTATTTCTCGTTCCTATTTATTTTATGATTCATTCTTTTTGTAACTAGGAACAGACGAAAATATTATTTGATGAGGACGAAGAGGAAGATGAAAATGAAGACGAAGATGATGTGAAACCAGTCCCTGGTAGAAGTGAGTTTATATAGTTTTTGAATCATTTTTTTTTATGTATGTTGCATGCTTTTTACCAAAAATGACTGCAAAGTGACATGTTTAGTGTTTCTTGCGACTCTATAAATCTAAATCTTTGTCATAGACTATATATATATATATATATATATATATATATATATATATATATATATATATATGATGATTGAAATGTAACTCACTATTTTATGTATGACGGGCTCTCCCGTCTAACTATAATTTTTAAAAGACAAAAAAAATCCATCATACATAAAATAGGTAGATACTTTTCAATAAACTTATATATATATATATATATATATATATATATATATATATGCGTCTAGCATGAAACCGCCTGTCGCCTCTGAGTGTTGACTGCAATGTTCACTTTTATATTTACATACGCTCTATCTCTGATATTGAACACTTTATCCCATAAATATAGCACATCTTAAAATTATATTTCTTATATATATATATATATATATATAAATTAGAAAAAGAGTCCACGGAGTACGTATGTTATGTGTTTGAAGCTTAGCCAGAAGTCAAATGTCGGAATCTTTAAAATAATTTTCATCTATATAATAAATGCAAATGTCAGTGTGTCACACTTTTTCATCATTACTCCTAGAGGCCGTAACCCAACATATCAAACCATTTTGGAATCAGGTTGGCACCGTGAGCAAATTAAAAAAAAATTCCAAGCCGGATCCGAACCCGTAATCCTGAAATTTTGGATTCCCAAGTTTTCATTACTGCTATTGTTTTCGGATTCCATAATCTTACCTTCTAGTGATAAAAACAATTAAAGGGACACAACTCTCTAACTTTCAATAGCTCATGTTCAAATGAAAAATTACTGTTCTCAATTTAGTGTGTTGCGAGAGTATGTACGCTGGTGGAATGTTTCTCACAATAATGGCGAACTTCATGTGATTCCGAGTAGTAAAATGCAAAGAAACAAAATAAAACATATATATATATATATATATATATATATGGATTGTTTTCGGCGATTTTTTTTTACATTATTTTTTTTTGTACAATAACAATTTTTATGACTTTGAAATAAATTTGTGAATAATCGAAATTAATTGCGAAATCCATCGAAAGTCGCCCATAAAATGAAAATAAATTGTTTGTAGAGAAAGTAAGGACCTACGTACATCAAATTGTCTTTAAATTAAATGGTGGCAGAAGAATTGTCGTGAATTTTTAAAAGGTAATTTTAAATATTAATGCAATACTTAAATGCACCGCTCAATTTATTCAAGTTCTTCTGTAGTTTATTGTTGCTTATCGCATTTTCTCCTCCTTACCTATTGTGATGAAGGTCCAATCAAGATCCCTCTGCAGGAGCAAGTCCGATAGGGCGGCTTTTAAGCTAGTACTATATATATGTATGTTTTATTAAATTCAACCTTCATTAAGAATTCAATAAATTCAGTTTCAGCCAGTTTCCCATCGTCGTAAAATAGCATCCCTGTGACTTTTCTATAAATACTTTCATGGTAATTGTTCTGATGAGCGTTCCTCTTTGGTACCGAGACTTTACCAAATTAAGTGCAGTACTAGACTGGCAGTTCGGTCTCATCAATTTAAAGATGAAATGGCTAGAAGTAACCGTAGGTCCTATGCTAACAGTTTCTTCTCCAGCACTTCTCGCTTGTGGAACTCTCTTCCGACTTCATCCTTTCCAGTTAACTTTGATCTTTAAAAATTTAAATGGAATGTCAATCGTTATCTTCTGTCTTAATTCCCGGTCTTCTATTATTCTCTCTTTAATGTTTTTCTTGTTCTCATATTTTCCCCAATCACTAACCCTTTGTGCCTTAGTGACTTTATTGCCTTGCTTGGGATGAAATGATTAAAACGAAAACAAAATCTGTTTATTTTTTAACTGCATACGTACATAGGGATCGAAACTTTACTTTCGACTGTCACTTGTTGCCTAAATATACCTGGGACTGTCGGAAGTTCTTGAACGAATGAGAAATAATATGAATATGGGACTGTTTATCAACAATTTCGATCCCTAGGCACATTTTATTCGAAAATTGGAAAATGCAATAAAAAACAAACGGACCTTGTCAGTTGAGTTTAATAAAACTTACATATTTATATATAGATGTATACACTACTCCACAAAATTTAATTCCAGGAAGTGACGTAATTCAAAATAATTTGAAATAATTGTTAAGTATTGTAATATTACCAGAGAAAATGCATTGATTCAAATTGTTTTAAAAATGCTTGAACCAGTTGTCAATTTTAAGTTCGTGTTATTGATTTCCTAGATCCTTGTGAAACCAAGAAATGCGGCCGGGGAATGAACTGCATATTGGTTAAAAATCAAGCAGTCTGTGAATGCATCAGCAAGTGCCGAAGGCAGGATGCCCGCCATAATGTAAGATGTTGTTCCTTTCACTTCACCTCAAAATCTGTTATTTCCACCTTTTGATGTTTTAACCCTATCTCTTGTTTTCTTGTCTATAATCTGTGAACAATTCAATTTCTTTTGTTTAACAAGAAAATAATTTTTACATTCCGTCTTGTTGGAAGGTGGGTCGTTTAGCTTGGACTGCAGAGTATCCGATTGAAATCAAAATGGTGACACGCGTGAGAAATCATCATCAGCGTTTTAGAGTTATTTATTTCCAGTAAATGGTAATCTACTTTTCTTAGAACTGGCCAGCATAGCCAAGTAAGAATGTTATTACAATGCATCAGTGAACGTTTTTAGATACAATCGGGCCATTTTTAATAAACGTAAACTATTTTACACTGCTTGTCAATTAATGACTGTTTTGTGGCTACTTGTCAGTAAATATTATATTTTTCCTTTACTTAATTATTTATCCTTTTTTTTTTTTTTTTTTTTTTTTTTAAAATATTTTGCTGACAAGTTAGTTTAATTCGTTTAGAAGTTAAGTGGAAAAAATGTCGCTATTCTAATTGTTTCTAGTTTTCTATAATCAGGTTGTCTGCTTCAATGAAGCAGATCCAGGCCATTGGCGATTGCGCGTCTCATTTGGTGACCCAAATAGAAACACCTTGTCGTCATGAGGCTCTGTAATTGATAGCCACACTTAACACAGACCAAGTTCTGTAGATCATTCTGTCTGCTCGCCTGTGCGGATCACCTTTTTTTTTATTCAGGTTTTGACCACGCATGCAAATTAGCGATAGTTATAAAAGCACTAGAACCACGCATGCGCTTTCTTTAAATTGCAAATGGCGGCTCCTGCTGCGCAAGCGAGACATCGTGGCCTCTTAGTCACAGGTAGGTTGGAATTCCTTGGTCGTATTTCACCGCATTCCCGCCTCATCTCGTGATTACATAAAGTGTAGCCGGGCGCAGGTCGCTTCTGACGCATACTTCTGGGGGGTTTAGTTCCGGATTGGTTGTCTGGGAGTTAGTTAGGGATACTTTTAGTTTATATCAGTTTTTCTCTGATGTTATTTTAAAAAAATTCAATTATGACCAGTTCTTGCAAATTTCTTTTTTTTTTTTTTTTTTTTTTTTTTTTTTTATACAGTGTAACCCCGATATAAGAGAGTTTTCAGGACCGGAGAAGAAGTCTCTTATATCCGGGTTTGGTCTATTTTATATACATTAACACAGGCTCTAATTCGGGCCCAGAGAAAATCTCTCTTATATCCGGGTCTCTTATATCCGGGTTACACTGTATATTTGAGTTTAAAAATTCAATTTGATTTTGTTGAAAGTAAGATTTAGGAAATACCACTTATTAAATTCCAGTATTCATTAGTTATACTTGCTATTACATTTAAAGGCAAGACTTGATTGGAACAGTTCGAATAAGAATAATCTATTTGATATCAAAGTAATATTGTGTACAGTTATCAGGAAATTAAAACTATTTTACTTTTGTTGGAACGATCTTTTCATCAAAATTCTCTAAACGAAAACTGATACTTTCTAATTTTTTAGAAAAACATGAAATAAATTCTGAATAAAAAAAAAAAATTGCAATTTCCACTAATATTTTTTTTTTTCCTCCAGGTTTGCAGCAAGGGAAACGAGACCTTTGAGACTGAATGCGATCTTGACCGTCAGTTTTGTCTTTGTTCTCACGACTTAGAAGGCTGCAGCGATCCAAAATACAAAAAAGTCCGACTTGATTATTATGGAGCCTGCAAGAGTAATTATATATTATAATGTCAACTTTGAAATCTTTTAAGTTTATTACAATACTACGTTACATAAACACTTCCGAATGATGGGTTAATTGTCCTTTAAAATCATCACCATCAATGTTGTCGTAGGCCGACTGTGCGACTGAATATCTGACGAGTTTCCTCCATATATCTAAGTTGAAAGTCGGATAGGCATTCATCCATGCGTATCATATCTTGGGAAAGTAGACCTAGCGGAGACCACCCCTTTGCAGAATAAACCGCGGACATATGGTTGCTGATTCCATCAGGGGAACCCTGTTTAGCTCTGGTTTTAACCAGTTTAGTAAACCCTCCACCTAGCGATGTGATGTCATCACCTCACTGGTTACATCCATAGCTGTGGAGGCTTGTTTTTCATTCTGCTTGTCAGCGGATCGGTTTAGTCGCCGATGACCCGACCATTACTACAGGTATTACTGTTTTTACATGGTACCTGAAGCGCTCGTAGAGTGACCGGACATATTCTTTTATAATAATTTGTTTCGATACCTTTAGAAACATTTTCAGGTATGCCTGCGCACACACATTTTTCTTTTTCATATTTCCTTCATAACGTTTCGATCGTCGTGCCCTCTGGCCTTCTCAGATGTTTGTCGATCCATGTCATTTTCAGGGAACCCTTTATTTAATTTCCCTAAAACATGTTTAGGGATATCTTGACTATTTTTAGTTACTTACCTTGAGGCTGGCTCTGGTACTGAACTCACAATTACTACGCCACCAGATTCACAAACCAATTCACTTGTCTATCGTTCTGTAGAACAATCCTGAACATAGAAATTGGAGCTTTAAACCTAATGTTCGTATTGTCTGCCTGCTGCTGTGCCACTTGATCTCCTTTGCCGTAGCTTCACTTGATGCAACTGAAACCTTGCTATCGTTCTCTTAATTAATATCTCCCATGGGAGCCATTAAGTGACTGATGCTAGGTGAACATAAACATGAGCTTAATACATGAGTTCTTTTCTATCTGGCTTTTTTAAAAATTAATTCCGCATTCATTCCCTCCATACATGATCAGCTATGCTTGATTTCATCATTTCACCCCTAATTGCACCTTTTCGATGTTTTTCCAGTTTTATTTTTAGGGGTCGGCTGGCTTCATGTTTGTACGCTCTTTCAAAAAGAACTTTCTTCGTAATGTCGAACTGCTTCTGGTGCCCGAAGAGGGATGAAGAGAATAGCGGCTGAAACGTTTTGTTAATAAAAACAAAGATTCAGATATTAGTCTGACTGTAAATAATAAAAATTACTATCACAGAGATTCAAGCAAAATTTTTTCTTCTTCTTAGTCACGCCGTGAACCTTTCGACACTCCTTCGTACGACGCTAAAAAAAAATATTATCCAACATTAATAAACGTTTATTTCATTTACTCGAAATACATATACATAATAAATAAACAAATTTTTATTAATAAATATTTAATCAAATACATAGGCCTACACTTTTTTTTTAAATGGTGGAGGAGATGTTTTGTCTAATGAACAATTTTAAAGTGCTGAATCTGAAAATGATATTTATTTTCTACCATTAGGTTTAGTTTTCTACAAAATACCATATTTGACGTAATTCAATTTCCTATCGAATGTTTGATACAAATTATGTACAGTGATCATATATAAGGACATTATATTGTCTCTACTTAGAACAATGCAATTAACTATTATCATCGTGTAAAAACCAGATGTTTGAGCAATCAGAAATTCAATATTCATGATTTTTTGCAAGAGGCATTAAAATTCGATTTGAAATTTATAGGAAACTTGGCTATAAATAGTATTTTTTTTTTAATATCCAAGTTCTGTAGAACAAAATAAGAACTTAACTATTAAAAATGAACTAGATTTTTTTTTTTTAACTCGGCGCCCCAAAATTAGCTCAGAAAATGTATAAGTTGATTTGCACCAAAGCATGTATAGGCAACTTATACTCTTGAACAATTCCTTTTACAAAAGAAAGACATAAATAAGTCCGAACGCTTTGATCAAATGCACCATTTCAGTATTAAACACACCACTTCAGCAATAAAAAATAATTACTGTAGCAAGGAAGCACAGCTTTTGGTGTCCGGTGGCTGGCGGAAATAGCCGAGAAGCATTTGGCGGGATGAAACGAAGTTTTGTTTTTGATTGGGCAGTCGATAAGTAAAAAGACAGTCGTTGAGTTAGCTTGTGGGTCCTCTGAGTGGAAAACTTGTAGATAGTAAGATTTAAGTTTGTTATAGGGTTCTGTTTGGTAGTCGTTGGTGTGTCGCGACTGTCAGTGCCTGCTGCAATAATTTTTTTTTTATTTTCGACAAAATTATTAAGCATCATTTTATAATTCCACATTCTAAAGTTATTTTTTCTAACATCTTCAATTTATTCATATTTTTATTTAGAACTGCCTCAATGTCTCCCGAAACAGTTGAAAGAATTTCGCGTCCGTGTCCAAGAATGGCTTCTTAGAGTCATGAAGGATTTGGTAAGTTTAAATGATAGTTTTTGTGTGAGTATCACATTTGGTGAGAAATGGATGGAAAGGAAAAGATCCGATTTTAAGTGTTTTAAGAATGTCTCCGTTTATTACAAAGAATCTTATAATTGAATTAAAATAAATTATTCTTTCAGAAAGCTCGAAAGCAACTTAATGATTATGAAGTATGGTTGGATGCCGCCAAAAAGGAAAAGAATCATGAACACGCCGTTGTGTGGAGATTCTGTCAATTGGATAACAAACCCAGAGATACGTGAGTAGTTCCCCACCCCACCAAAAAAAAAATAAAACACAGAATAACGTCCACATGCATTTCTAAAGACATTTGATAATAAATAAATTAAATAAATAAATAAATATTTAATCTTGGACAGCGTAATGGCTATTAACAGGCAAAATAGAATCGACGGTCCGGATCTAAATTGCATCCTATACTGTTTTGCTCACTCTCGCGTTCATTCCACTAGGGAAAGCATATATCCATCATTTTTTCTCAGCTATGGATTAAATAGTACCGTAAACTGCATTCTCTCGTCTTGGGAGGCAGCCACTCTGATATTATTTTCAATTCAAAAACGTGGAGATCTTAGTGGGAAGCTTTTCTATTTTATTTTCTAAGATGTCATGACAGCTCACCGATAATATAAAGAATGTTTCTGTGGCGAGCCATGATAGCTAACATTTTGAAGGGCCATTGCATAAAGAAATTGTCTGAATTGTAAAATGTTAATTATTCACGTTCGATTTTCAGAAATACGGTAAGAGTCCAATATTAATGGACGAAAGTTTAACAATCAACAGTTTTACATTTCTACCGATTCGTTTGTGATAAAAATTGCAGTAAATATTTTCTAAAAGATTTTTCATCAGAAAGAACCAATAATAAAATAAAAATTTATTACAACAAAATGTAAAGTTCAAAATTAAAGTAATAATTGTAAATACGCATTAAATTAATTTCACCATTGCTTTAATATTGAAACCAAAGATTAACTCTTAAACAACAATCATCAACTGATGTGTCATTGGAGATTAGCGGATATTATTGATATATTTGAAGATATAACGTTTTTCAAAGATACGGGTATCATTCATTTATGATTAATCTACGTAATCTGTAGTTTCCCTGTGCCTTCTCTATAAATATTTTCATGGTAATTGTTGCAATAAACTTTCTTCTATTGTACCAAGACTTTACGAATTTTAAGCGCAGTACTAGATTGGCGGCAAGGTCTCATCATTTTGCAGTTGAAATGGCCGCTAGATGTAACTGCAAGTTCTTTGCTAACAGTTACTTCTACCGCACTTCTCACTTGTGGAACTCTCTTCCGGCTTCTTGCTGTTCAGTCAACGTTGACCATCAAAAATTTAAATACAATGTCAATAATTATCTTTTATTTTCTTAATTTTTGATCTTTTTATTTTCTTTTCTGCTTAGTAGGATATTCTAATATTCTTTAACACTCAATAACATTTGCGTCTTAGTGGCTTTATTGATTAGCTTGGGGTGAAATGAAAAAAAAAACGTTACTAATTGGAAACACTACGATTCATGAGGTCACTATTTAATGGAATTTATGAGGATTGAAGGGGTACCTTTTTTTTTATTAGCGTGGAGATGAGTTTTAGGTAGCAGAAAGAGTGTCCCCTAGTTGGGGACCAATGTTTAGTGAAGTATAAAAGAAACAATACCTACTGGTATTACCTGGCATTTATTCTGGAGTTTTTGCCCAAATAAAGCGGGAAGAAAGAACCAAAGACAAACCTATGTCTACATGCATACTTCTCGAAGAGAAAAGAGTCGAAAATGGTGACAACATGGCTCACAGACTGCATAACTCTATTATGCATAAAACGCATCAACTATAAAAAAATGTAGGAATTTGTTTTAGTTCCCTTTTTTCTTTATTTATGTAAGCTTGGGTGTGCGGGTGGTGTAATAAATAACGGCTCGGAATTGTTAATAGGAGAGCCGAGTTCAAGTTGGGTTCGTTATATTCGCTTCCGTGCAAATACACTTGGGAAAGGTATGAATCTCTTTTCACTCCAGCTACGGGTTAATTAGTAAGACTTGTATCACTAAATCATTATCTCTAAAAGAGATAATAATGGTTTAATGATAAATATGAAGTATGAAAGATTAAAAACCTACCAACAATATTTCATTAAAATCCTAGCCATTAACATCCAAATAAACATGTGTGGAAAATGTTAACATGTGGAATTGATTATCAACGAGTAATTTTCGTATTTCTATAAACGTTATTTTTAGTGAGTACACGTTCGGTTGACAGCTGTTATTTTAAATAAAGGGATTCATATCAAGCAGCCAAATGTCTCTCTCTCTCTCTCTTTGTCTCTCTCTCTCTCTTTTTGTCTCTCTTTTTGTCTCTCTCTTTCTCTCTTTTTGTCTCTCTTTTTGTCTCTCTCTTTGTCTCTTTTTGTCTCTCTCTTTGTCTCTTTTTGTCTCTCTCTCTTTGTCTCTTTTTGTCTCTCTCTTTGTCTCTTTTGTCTCTTTTTTCTCTCTCTCTTTGTCTCTCTCTGTCTCTCTTTTGTCTCTCTCTCTCTCTCTTTTTCTCTCTCTCTCTTTTTTGTCTCTTTTTGTCTCTCTCTCTTTTGTCTCTCTCTCTCTCTCTTTTTCTCTCTCTCTCTTTTTCTTTCTCTCTCTCTCTTTTCTCTCTTTTGTCTCTCTCTTTTGTCTCTCTCTTTCTTTGTCTCTTTTTTGTCTCTCTCTCTTTGTCTCTTTTTGTCTCTCTCTTTTGTCTCTCTCTCTCTTTTCTCTCTTTTTCTCTCTTTTTCTCTCTTCTCTCTCTCTCTTTCTCTCTCTTTTCTCTCTCTCTCTCTTTTTCTCTCTTTTTTCTCTCTCTCTCTCTCTCTCTTTTCTCTCTCTTTTGTCTCTCTCTCTCTTTTTCTCTCTTTTGTCTCTCTCTCTCTCTCTCTCTCTTTTTTTTTCTCTCTCTCTTTTCTCTTTTCTCTCTCTCTCTCTCTCTTTTCTCTCTTTTTTCTCTCTCTCTCTCTTTTTCTCTCTTTTTGTCTCTCTCTCTCTTTTCTCTCTCTTTTCTTTGTCTCTTTTTTCTCTCTCTCTCTCTTTTTTCTCTCTCTTTTGTCTCTCTCTCTCTCTCTTTGTTTTCTCTCTTTTTTTGTCTCTCTCTCTCTCTTTTTCTCTCTCTTCTCTGTCTCTTTTTTCTCTCTCTTTCTCTTGTCTCTTTTTCTCTCTTTTTTCTTTTTGTCTCTCTCTCTCTGTCTCTCTCTCTCTCTCTCTTTTTGTCTCTCTCTCTCTCTTTTTCTCTCTTTTTGTCTCTCTCTCTCTCTTTTTCTCTCTTTTTGTCTCTCTCTCTCTCTTTTTCTCTCTTTTTGTCTCTCTCTCTCTCTTTTTCTCTCTTTTTGTCTCTCTCTCTCTCTTTGTCTCTTTTTCTCTCTTTGTCTCTTTTTCTCTCTTTGTCTCTTTTTGTCTCATGTTCAAAGTCTGTCATTAATTCTAGCGCTTTTATAACGTCGGTGCTATAAACTTTATTACAAATATCTGTTTTGATGGAAGTAAGGCACATCTGAATTTATGCGTTAAACAAATGAATATATCACCTTCTGAGAGTTTAGAGAATTTTTACGTTTCATTTCTCTGACCTAAGGTTTTGTGAAAGGAATCGCTTACTTGTTGCCTTATTGAAAAACACTCAACACAATTTTTCATTGCCGCTTTTTCTCTTTTTGTTTCTTTAGATACATGAGTCGTCGGGAATTGCAATTCACCATTCATTCATTGAAAGGCATGGAACAATGTCTTGTGCCATTTTTGAGCGACTGTGACAAGAACTCTGACCGCAAGATCAGCTTGGAGGAGTGGGAAATGTGCTTGGATCTAGATAAAGGTAAATTTCAACGAAATTAAACAATCTATAAAGGACAACAAAATTAGGACCTTAAAAAAAAAGAAAATTTTTAAAAGTGTGTTATATATATATATATATATATATATATATATATAATTATTTAAAAAAATTTATAACATAAATATGTTATAAAATCACTACAAAAAATAGCCATTTTGTTTCAACACCCTCGGTGTCTTATCAAGTGATGATGTCGAATGTAAAATAAATGTTTTTAAAAGTTTCGAATTAATTAACAATCCTTCACAAGGGGAAAAAACGTTGTTACAAAAGCTAGATGGACCAATCAAAAATACAAGTATAGGAAAATTCAATACTTGGATTTTATATATATATATATATATATATATATATATATATATATATTTTTATTAGTTTAGGCGTTATTTTTTAATGGTTACTCATATGTGAGTAGACGCCCTGTTTATTTTAAACTATTTCGTCTACCGGAAGGAACATTCGACAAAACTTATTAGGGTGCATTTCCTTTAATAAGATTTCTCGAAAGTACAAGTCGGTAGACGAAATAAAAATGCTGTTTCAAATAAACTGAGCGTCTGCTCAAAAAGGTATGAATCTACCATTCTCCCCAACTATGGGTTAATTAGTAAAACTTATAATTAAAACTATTATCTCAAAAAAAAAAATTACAATGTAAAAATATTTTTTGCCTTTAAATTGAATCCATTAAGTTGAGCTGTGTTCTTTTTTCATCTGTGTGATGTTTCATATAAAGCAGAAAGAGACTGTTACCTTTTGGGGGGCCAATGTTTAGCGAAGAAGTACGAAAAAAAAAGAAACAATACCAACTGATATTACCTGTAGTTATTTTTTCGTATAAAAAATTATATTTCTTTCTCTTCATGTTAGTGTACTTCATGAAAGTGGCACTATATAGGAAAGTTGGTAGAACTTTCGTTACCTAGGTCAGAGACGCTGATGAAACTATAGAATCAGACGATAGACATTCCTCTGACTAGCGGCTAATAGCTACAACAAATTTGAGCTTCTAAGCAAGGCTTATTAGGTTCTTAGACAAAGGCTATAACTTCCATGAATTCTTCTGGTTATGATTTCAATTACGAAATCTATAGGGCAATAGTTTTAACCATTCAGAATTCCTTCTGGTTTGATTCCGATTTTAAATAAAACTTCCTTATTTGTACATAGCCCATACGATTCTTCCTGTTACCAAACATGGTGTCTACCGCCAATCTTAAACAGTTCCTTTCTGCAGTTTGATATGGGAAATTTGCCCCGGTTTTCCGACATGAAAGGGTTGCGGTTAAAAATGCGACAAAATTGAAAAAAGCAACAATGGCTTGAAAAACTAGACAGGACAATTCTCTATTTTTTTAGCAAAATGTAGGAAATTTACCCCGGCTTTCCCATATGAAATGTTTGAGGTTAAAAATGCGACGAAACTGAATATATATATATATATATATATATATATATATATATATATATATATAAAACGACGGCTTGAAAGATTAGAGCGGATAATTCTCTATTTTTAGGCGGCTCTTTCAGACGAAAGAATAGATTCAAACTCCTGCTTGTTGCGTAACTATAAAGGAAGAAAATGTTTATTTACATGCACAAAACAAAGGGGTAAAAGGATATACATAATTACGAGAGAAAGAAAGGGAGAAGAAGATTCCTTTAAATTTAAAGGAAGAAAAAATGTTCATCAAAAAAGAAAAGGCTTGCTCAAAATATTTTTCTGAGTGCCTAAAAAAGTTATTTAAGCGAGTAGTAGATTGTTGTTAAATGTTAAACCACTCACAGATTTGTTCAGAGTTCTTGTATAGGTGGAAACTGTAGGAAGATACGAATTTCGTAGTTGAGTGAGTTCGTAGGCCGGCGACAGATATCTTCTAGTTACAATAAGGCAGATCTCCAATTTGTTTTTAGTTGTGGGCCGACGGTCTTTCTCTACAGCCCATAGTAGGTAGTTCTTTCTTGAAGATGACTATTCTTCTGCTGCCGACCTATGTCACAGACGGTTGTCGAGTACTCGGTATTTAATAGAACCCCCCACCCCCCACCCCAGTGACTCATGTTGTGACACAAGGTCAATTTTTAACGTGGGGACCCGAGTGTTTTCACTCGGGCCGCTGGTCTAAGCTGGTCATAGCTTGTCCAAGTTAGTCATTGTTGATCTTGACTTGTCATAGCTGGTCCAAGCTACGGTTGTCGAGTACTCACTGCTAATCAGGCGTAAATTATTCGTATTTATGAAGATTAGGTTACTCAGAAAATATCGAGGACTTCCCCTCCAAAACTGCTATACATATTTCCTGGCCATTTCATTTGTTAGAAAATATATTCTTATCTCTGATAAGAATCAAGGTTTTGGGACCTGCTTTATGGAAGCAAGGGTCCGACAAGTTAAGTGCATTACCCCGGACTTCATGGCACCAAGGACAGGATAATGATGCTAAAACTCCTTTTTATATTTTCCAGCTATCTCGTTCGTCAGAAAATATATCCTTATTTCTGATAACAAGACTTTGGGAGCCGAGTTTGAAAGCAGGGGAAAAAAGGTGGGATGATGATTAAAAAAGACGCTAGAATATGAACCTGTTATATATTGTAGTTGTGGTTCTCATGTTAAATTCTAATACTGACCAATGCCATATTTCGGAAGAAATTCATAAGGTCATTCATATATTTAGCTATTTATTTGATTTTTTTTTTTTATCTATCAATTGGTTTATCGCTTTTCTATTTGTTTTCTTAATTAAATTCCTGTTAAGCCAAGAAAAAGAAATGTCGTCTGTTAGCTAGGGGTTCTTTTTTACTACACGCTTTACATTCATACATTAAACATTATTAGCAGTACGTTATTTAATGTGGACAATTGTAAGTACATTCGCACTTACCAATACAAAAATTAATTCTACAACAGACTTTCTTTTGTAATGGCAAACACTAAATAGGCGTTGACATAAATATTTGCAGAAATAACTTCTGACCGGTTTTTCGCAGAACAAAAAAACTGGGGTGGGAGACACGTCAGACAAGTCCAGGTTTCCTCTTGTAATTTTTGTTCTTCATGTTCTCTTCCTATTTTGCCATTTTGTTTTTGATAGACTCAAGGAAAATGTTGAAAAATTAAGTTTAATATAGATTACGATTATATTTTTCTTGCGTGAAAAAAGAAATGATCTGAATTCTTATAAAAATTTGTTCATACGAATGTCCCTATCTTGGTTGTTATAGTCCTAATATTTTGGTTGTTGTTTCTTCGTATGGCTGTCAAGTATCTGTTGTAGTTCATAACCATCCCGGAATTTAGAACCGAAATCTTTATTTCACGTCACCAGGAAAGATTGTCCTTATTCCATTGTGCGTCCTGGGTATGACGATAACCTGCATCCACGTCCAGGGTAAGACGATAAACTACGCCCAACAGCAAGGCCTCTGATCAGGAGGCTTTGAGGAGCGTGGAACCCCCTCTTAATTGCTCTTAAAGTTCCCAGGTCCACCCTGACTCGGGGTGGTAGCACCTGTTAGGGTCCCATCTATGGGCAAATAGTTAACCCAGAAACTGAGGTAAAAGGCATTATAAAAGTGTAAAAATGGGTTTTAATACCAGAAATACTTTGTAAAAATTATTACCAGAAATAAATTTTTTGAAAAAAAAAATTACTAGCAATATGTTTTGGAAAAAACTATTACCAGCAATACGTTTTTGAAAAAATATTACCAGCAATACGTTTTTGAAAAAACAATATTACCAGCTATACGTTTTTGAAAAAATATTACCAGCTATACATTTTTGAGGAAAAATATTAACAGAAATAGATTTTTGACAAAACAAAAATATTACTTAAAAAAAAAAAAAAAAAAAAATAGAAAAGAAAGTTGTCGGCATTAAATGACCCATTGAGGTTGATATGACGTAAAACAAACCAAACCTCATTCCATTGTCCACGCGAGAAAATATCACGTATCATTTAATTATATCCAGTTCATAGCTCTTATTGCTTCCATTAAACTATATATATATATATATATATATATATATATATATATATATATATTTTTTTTTTTTTTTTTTTGCATTAACCGGCCCAGGATTGAACGCAAGGTGACTCGATTCGCTTAAACAATACATGTGCCACCGAACACTTCAGTAGTGGAAACATAGTTTTAAATCAAATGTCGACTGTCTTCCTCTTTTACCGAACCAAAATATGACTTAAGCTACGTAGTGTAATTAGGTGGTTCAGAGTTTTGGAGGCTTAGATTTAATGTTCGTTCTCTCTTAATGAAAATGAGGACAGAACTTTGAATAAATAAGTGTATAATAATCATAATAATCCATTTAAAAATTCATTTAAGACTGAATGAATTTAACTCTTTCTACCACACTAGAAAGTACCTGACCCTTTCTGTCAGCTTAGGCTTCAAAAATGGAGTATTGTTATTGGGCTGGACCGGCGCAGTCATCAATTTCCATTCTTGATAGTGTGAGGTTACTCACATCGTAGCAGCAGAAATAGCCTCGTGTTCACAGGAAATAAAAACATACTTCACAGGAATAAAACATACACAGAGATAACATTAAGAGCATGTTAAATTGTACATTAATATCATACAATTTATTGTGTGTGTGTGTTTTTGTTTGTTTGTGTTTTTTGGTTGCATGTAATAAAAGGAAGAAGTCATTTTGCATTATTACAAGCAATGTCCCGGAGAGAGAGAATTTGGGACGCGTGTTGACCGTCCGTCAGTCAGTAGCGTAAAGATTGAATTCAATGTCTTTTGGTGGGATATCCGTTTTCCGGCATGCTGGGAGAATTTTTATTTTTTATTCAATTTATTTTAAACAAAGTTTTTGTTATTTGTTTCATTTTACTTTATTTATAATATTAATTATTAATATTATTAATAATAATAATGTCCCCAACAGTGATTCAAGATTCTTCATACGGTCCTGCAATCTCTTTCCCAGAAACGTCGCAAGC